CACAGCATCAGAACTCTAAGCACGTGAGAGAGAGTGAGAACCTCCCAGAACATTGTATTGTGCCACGCCCAACAGAAATAACCCAGCTGGGCGACTTTAAAATCAGGATCTCCTCAGTTGCTAATAGCAATTCCCACCTTGGAGTTTACAAAGACTTACGGGTAGAAAAGCCACACTAAGTAATTTACTACACCGCACCAGACCAACCTTACAAAAGATGCTAAAGGGAGTCCTTTGGACAGAGAACCAACAACAGCAAACAACATTGACCATTAACACACATGATGACATAACCCATACCAACCTAGTTATGGAAGTATCCAAAGTAAATAAGCCTATAAGATTGTAAGCAGGAAACCAGAGACATCAATTGGCAAATGAGGACAACTACAAACCAAAAAGAGGGAACAAATTGTGTAATTACAGAGCTTCTAAATGGCAAGGAAGTCAAGACAATTGCAAGATAGAATAGACTGTTCTAAACTTGGGAAGAAAATTATAAATCAAAGAAAAATGATAAACCTTCACATTAAAATAAAAAAGAGGACCAGCACAAATATTTAGCAAATACTAAAACAATAGTAACAAAAGAAGTGATAACATGATTCATAAACAAAATGAGCTCAGCACAGAAAATTCTATGGAACAAAGAAATCAGTAACATCATGAAAAAGCACATAACAAAATGACAGCAACCAATTCATACTTGTCAATAATTACACTGAATGTCAGAGGATTAAATGCACCACTGAAGAGATGGAGATCTGCAGACTGAAGAAGAAAATATAGCCCATAAACAACATACTGTCTACAAGAAATGCACCTTACAGAGAGAGAAACAAAGTGACTGAAAATCACTTTGGGAGGGAAGAGGAGGAAACACTGCAAAAATAAAAATTAAAAAGAATTGACAGTGTTTGAGGTTGGAATAGTGGTTATCTTGCAGGACAGTAACTGGAGAGAGTGGCACAAGGAGACATTCTAGGAGCTCTTTCTTGATATGGGTGCTGGTTACTACACGGGTGTTCACTTTGGAAAATTTCATCATGGTTTATATGATTTCTATTAATATTGTTGTTGGGTGCCATTGAGTCAATTCTGACTTCTAGCAACCCCATGTGACAGAACAGAACTGTCCTATAGGGTATCTTGGCTGTGATTTTTACAGGAGCAGGTCTTTCTCCCTTGGTATCTCTGGGTATGTTCAAACTGCCAATTTTGCAGTTAGTAGCCAAGCACTTAACTATTTGCATCACCAGAGCTCATATATGTACATTACACTTCAATAAAAGTTCACTTAAAACAACAACAACAACAACAAAGAAATCAGATGTCATGTTGCACTGAGCAAATCTGGTGCAAATGACCTCTTTAAGTCCTGAAGAGCAAAGATGTCTCTTTGAAGACTAGGGTGTGCCTAACCCAAGCCAGTGGTATTTTCAATAGCTTCATATGCATGTGAAAGCTGGACAATGGATAAGGAAGACTGAAGAACAATTGATGCTTTTGAGTGTGGTGTTGGTGAAGAGTGCTGAAAGTACCATGGACTGCTAAGAGAACTAACAAATCTATCCTGGAAGAAGTGCAGCTGGAATGATCCTTGGAAGGAAGAATGGGCAGACTTCGTCTAACCTATTTTGACCATGTCGTCAGAAGGAACCATTCCCTGGAGAGCAATATCATGCTTGGTAAGGTGGAGGGTTGACGAAAGAGGGGAAGACCCTCAACAATATGGATTGACACAGTGGCTTGCAGCCATGAGCTCAGGTATAACAAGGATTGTGAGGCGACACAGGACCAGGCAATGTTTTGTTGTGTTGTACACAGCGTCGCTGTGAGTCAGAGTTGCCTTGGTGGCACCAATAACAACAGTGTCTAGCTAGTATATCACATATTAATTTGCATTCCTATCTTTCCAGCGTCTATGATTTGGAAGGAATTTAAGGATCATAGAATGCTACAAAGTGATCAATACAAGTCAAATTGTTTTAAAAAGTTCCAACTAAATTTTTCATTGCTCAGAATTCTGAATAAATGAGCATGTTAAGCTTTTTCATTAATAGATTATTTTTAGATCAGTTTTAGTCTTAATAATGTATTTTATTAAGTCCAACATATGCATAAAACCCTGGTGGCCCAATGGTGAGGTGCTTGGCTGTCCCTTAAAACTCATCCAGCAGCCCCGAGGGAGAAAGACTTCATGCTCTACCTCTGAAAAGTTTACAGTCAAGAAAATCCTATCAGGCAGTTCTACTCTTGCCACATGGAGTCACTTTGAGTCAGAGTTGACTTTGAGTCAGAGTTGACTCCACAGCATCCAGCAACAACTTATTCACATTTCAACGTGTCAGTAGGAAAACATAATCAACATTAAAAATCTCAATGAGATATTCAATATTCATGCTTTGGCATTACATTCTTTTCTTTTTAATTCTAATAGATGAACATTTTACAGTAGTGACAGAGCACTAAATTTTGACTTTTTTTTTCAAGTGTGCCACGATAACTTTCACTAGAACATAAGCTCTGTGAAGACAGGAGGTTTTGCTCATCATTCTATCTCAAGCATCTAAAATTGTGCCTGACACCTAGGAGGCATTCAGTCAACCATAGATTTGACAGTGATGATAACTTTCTTGCTTCTCTTTACAGGTCGCTATGCAATGGTGGTCTGCGGAGACATCGCGGTCTATGCAAATGGCAGTGCTCGCCCCACAGGTGGGGCTGGAGCTGTGGCAATGCTGGTGGGGCCCGAGGCCCCTCTGGCCCTTGAGAGAGGTTTGTACTAAACATTGCATGCATGCTAGCAAGAAGCACGTTGGAATATGTAGATCCTAAGTAGGTGTATCAAGGAGCTCTGGTAGCACAGTGCCCAAGGTATCTGACTGTTAACCAGAAGGCTGGAGATTCAAACCCACCAGCCACTCTGCAGAAGCAAGACTAGGCAATCTACTTCCATAAAGATTTACCACCTCAGAAACCCAATGGAGGTCACTATGAGTCAGCATTGACTTGACGGCAGTGGGTTTTTTTTTTTTTTTTTTGTAATTAGGTATATCTGGGTAGTGCAAAAGGAGCCCTGGTGGTGCAATGGCTAAGTGCTCGGCTTCTAACAGAAAGGTTGGCCTTTTGAACCTACTGGCTGCATGGAGGGAGAAATATGTGGCAGTCTTCTCTGTAAAGATTACAGCCTTGGAAACCCTACGGGACAGTTTTACTCTGTCTTACAGAGTCGCTCTGAGTCTGACTCGATCTGATGGCAATGGGCTTGATTTTTGGTTTGGATGGTGCAAATGGTTAATGCCCTTGATTCCTCTACCCAGAGGTGCCTCAGAGGAAAGGCCTGGAAATATCCTTCTGAAAAAAAAAAAAATACCCATTGAAAACCCTATGGAGCACAGTTCTACTGTGACACACAGGTGGTCACCATGAATCAGAACTGACTCAACAGCAACTGGTTTTGTTTGGTTTTTAACACCAAATTGGGATATCTGCTACTCAGGGCTGGTTATGGTTTGACAATGGTATTGTTTGCCTCCAAAAGACTAGTCTGGGGAGCAGAGAGCAGAAGGAAGGGAAGAGAGGGATCAATGCAGTCTTCTGCCTCTCCATCATAACAACATAGGGAATGATGGTACAGATGTTGTCTAGGATGTTTAGGAAGATACACTGGCAATTGGAGATGAAAATGGTATAAAATACAAAGCTCTCCTTTGAAACTTTTGGGTTTTATTCCAGAGTTTGTTAAGCCACATAGGGGTGAAAGACGGAGTAGAAATCTCATTTAGATAATGCAATCTATTCAACTCCCTTTGAACATGTGAGGGATGGTGAGTTGGCTTGGGTTTGGCCATGGGAGGGAGATTAAGACCAGGTGAGCGGAATTATGCAAGTCCTGAATCCCTCTGTGTGTCTGTCCAGGGCTTCGAGGAACCCACATGGAAAATGTATATGACTTTTACAAACCAGACCTGGCTTCAGAGTATCCGGTTGTAGATGGGAAGCTTTCCATTGAATGCTACTTTCGGGCCTTGGATCGATGTTACTCATTTTACCGCCAAAAAATCCAGAAGCAATGGAAGCAAGGTATGGGGCTCGGAGGGCAGAAGTTTGGGGGGATCTCTTTATAAGGGCCTAAGACAATGTCTCTTGTCTCTTTCCCTGAAAATGTCAACAGAATTGTTTCATGTCTCCTTCCTCCTACACCCTCCTCTGCCAGTAGGCTAAAATCCATTTGAAAGTTACCCAAATTCAAGTATATAATTGCTTCTGACTTGAACTAAATGAAGGAAATTAAAACATCCAGGGCCAACGCTCACTGCTCTGAAACCAGTAGGTGTCAGCCACCTGGGGAGAAACTGATGTGAGGTAGAAGAATCACATTCTATTCAGATGGGTACTTGCTTCTGTTCAACGCAGGAGTGATTTGACCCTTAGTTTATAGTTTGCCCCCTTTCAAAGTCTGGTTGACTTTAGCTGACTAGAGTGTTACCAGTGATTTCCCTCTAGATGGTAAAGTTGCAGGTAGATTTTATTTTCATCTTTTGTTTCTAAATTTTCCTGCTATATATATATAGGGAGCTCTGGTAGCATAGTGCTTAAGGCACTTGCCTGCTAACCAGAAGGCTGGTGGTTCAAACCCACCAGCCACTCATCAGAAGGAAGATGGGGCCATCTACTTCCATAGTGATACTGCCTCGGAAACCCAAGGAGGGGTCACTATGAATCGGGTCTGACTAGACAGCACATAACAACAAATACACACACACACACACATAGATAGAGAGATATAGATATATATAAAGAGACTTTCCCTATATTTTTATGACAGAGAGGAAGAAGACTATATTGATCCCTCTCTTCCCTTCCTGCTCTCTGCTCCCCAGACTAGTCTGTTGGAGGCAAAGAAACAAATAATCTTTATTTTAAAATACAGAGAAACCTACTTTTAAAACATGAAAAAGATTCTTACCTGGGCATCTGCAAATGGTTTGGGGTGAGAAAAAGGCATGAGCTGAAGCCTCAGAGCATGAACACCTTGCTGTTGTTGTTACCTTCTGTGGAGTTGTCCCTCAACTTATGGCCACCCCTTGCACAACAAAATGAAATGCCCCATGATCAGTTGTGAATCAAACTATTGTGATCCAAAGGGTTTTCAGTGTCTGATTTTCTGAAGCAGATCACCAGTCTCTTTTTCCTAGTCCATCTTAGTCTGGAAGTTCTGCTGAAACCTGCTTAGCATCATAGCAACTGCACAAAGAACATGGAGGAAGCATCTTCTGACCTCCTCTAACTTCACAAGAGGGAGACAGAATCACCAACAGCAGCCCAAAGCTTATTCCTATGAAGCCAGACTTGCCACCACCCTCCAGTCTTTTACCAACTTTGACACCAACTGTCCTTTCCATGGTGTTCACTACTTCTCTGCTGGGTTCGATAATTTGTTGCAATGGCCACACAGAATTCATGAACAATACTCACGATTATGGGGTTTATTAGGGAAGAAACAGGCTACAATTCAGATTCAGGAATGTGCTCAGGATACAGCTCTTTGATCAGGACAGTCTCCCTCCCCTCTGCTGTGCCCTCAGACATGCCTCTCTGGCCCTTGGCTTCTTGGCCTGGCCTCTGCCTCTGTGGGCCAGGTAAGCCTGCCTTCCGTCTCCTGCCTCTTGGTTCCATTGCCACCATCTATTTTCCAGGGCATCTCTCAGCTAAGGATGTCCAGTGCAGGTATCTCAGGTCCAAGGATATGCTCTAGTTCACTTCCAGCTCTTCTCTCTTGATGGCAGTGAGATCCCCTCTCTGCCTCTGTTGTTATTGTTGTTATGTGCCGTCGAGGGCTCATTTTAAGACTGGAAGAGTGACAGAACTATCCAATCCCAACATCAGAGTTTACACACCTTATTTGCATGGTCCCACTCAGGAATCCAGTGGGAGTTACAAAGGTTACGGCTAGAAAAGCCATACCAAGTAATTCACTGAACTGCAGCAACACACAAGCTTCAACTGATGAATGGGTGGTGGCTACACATGAGGTGTATTCTCTGGGAATTGAACTCAGGTCTCCCACATGGAAAGCAAGAATTCTACCACTGAAAGACAGCTGGCCCTGCTGTGGAGTCCTTAGAGGTGACATAAGGAGCCACTTCTTGCCCCTTTCCACTGCACTGGGTTGGGTGCTGCTATAGATGACACCCATGGTTTGGTGTTGACTTAGACTCCACTGCCTCTACCTGTTGCTATTGGCTATTTGAACTCACTGCCTCTGAACCCTTATGGCATTTTAATTTTACCCCTTTTTCTCATATGGAGTTTGATGGATATTGCCTTGGATCACTGCATTAAATTGTAAACGTTCCTGATAGCAGAGGTGGCATCATCCTCATTCTTGGAATAAGTGACAGTCTCTTGTGTAGAGTCAGAGACACCTGAATCTGAATCCTCAGCCAGCCATTTTCAAACTGAGTGACCTTAGACATATTACTTAACTTATTCTTTTGGAGACTGTTTCCTTCTCTGCCAAATGCAGAAAATGATGTAACACAAAGTTGAATTGGAGATTAAACAAATTAATCCACTTAAAAACATCTGTCATAGAGGTTGGCAATAAAGACACTCAGAAGATGTTAGCTTCTTTCCTTCTTTTCTCACACGTAGAGGGTGCCTAGTAAGTACTTGTGGAATGAATGAATGATTTGCTCACTTCCCTGTCTGTGTGTTTGTGGAGGTAGGGACCAGTTCTCTGGGGAGACCTAGAGTCCTAGGCACAGCTGCGGTCCTGGAGAAGTAGATCTAAGTGGCTAGACTGTCACACCACATTCTTGTTCCCACACCTCCTCTTCCAGCTGGTATTGACCGACCTTTCAACCTGGAAGATTTCCAGTTTCTGATCTTTCACACACCCTTCTGCAAGTTGGTCCAGAAATCCTTGGCACGCCTAATGTTCAATGACTTCCTCTCAGCCAGCAGTGACATACAAAGCAGCCACTATAAGGGGCTAGAGGCCTTCAGGTGAGTACTCTTCCTGGGGAGCCTAGAAGCCCATGGGGGAACCAGGGGAAGGGAAGGAGGAGCAGACACCCAGAGATAATTTACCAGCCTCCACTGTGGAAAGCAAATGCCCATCTCCCAACACAACAGAATGACACTAGATCCTTACATGTGTTGAGGTGCTATTGTCTACATGTGTAATCTCAGAGGAGCACAAGGGGCTTGTCAGAACCCCTGGGCCAAGTGACTAGAAGAAGCTTCAGAGAATAAGGAACAGGGAAAAGGAGTGTAGCTGAATCATTCAGCTAATAAACATTTTCAGAACACCTGCTATGTGCCAGGCAAACTAAACTCTAGGGATACAAATCTGAATATGACTCCATGATCTCTGTCATAGAGGATCTCACAGGCTATACTGACACATGTTGTTGTTCGTGTTGTCATTAGTTGCCATCAGATTGACTCCAACTCATGACGACTCATGTGTTGCACAACACAGCTCTGCTCCATAGGGTTTTTGTTTTTTTTTTTTAATTTTATTTTGATTTGGGTGAAGATTTACAGAGTAAATTCACTTTTCATACAGCAGTTCAC